AAGAAAACAACTTTACTTTTATGTTAACTTTACTTTTCTTTACTATTTATATGTTTTTTTTTCCATTGTATCCTTTATTATTAATTTGGTTAAACATCAATTACATACATTCAGATTTATCAAAAAAAAAAAATTAAAATCAAAAACCAAAATTAATTTATTGCTTTCTTCTTCTTCCATTTTAATAATTTTTATATTTTTTAGTTTTATAATTTTGAAATTTTAATTTAAATAATTTTTGTTTTTTGAATATTTTTGGACCACCTATTTTGGAGGGATATGTGTTATGAATGTGTTGTAAAATAAAATGTTGTAATCGTAAATGTAAAATTTTAAAATATTTCTATTATTGTACGTTTATCAGTTTCGTTCTTGACTTAGAAGAGATAATAATTTGTCATTAAATTTTGGATGAACTCGTTCATTGTTTTTTTTTTTTTTTGAGGAGGACTAAAGCTCCCGTTATTTGTTATGATTTTCAATCTGAAAATTTTTGATTATTGAAGAAATATTATTGATAATGAAAATGCTTTTGTAAAGAAAAGCTCACGAAAGATTTAAGATTTATACCTAACGTAAGTGTAATAGTACAACTATCGCCTTAGTTATATAACAAAAGAGAATTATTTTTTATATTTGATTAACATTAACAATTTTAAAAATTTATGCTACTTTTGAAAGCTATTATATTTTATTATTTTATTTATGAATTTTTTCTTCTCATATTTTATCTACTTCTACAATAATGTAAGATTTTCTATTTAAATTCTAATTTAAAAGATCATTTAATTTATATTTCAATTTTTGAGTTCTTTTTTTTTTGTATTTAAACATTTACTTATATATTATTTGGTTGAAGAATCGCAGAAACGCTTATATAAAATTAATTGCTAGTAGATATATTATTCTTAAATTATTTCATCCACTTAAAGAAATATTTATATTTTTAAGCAAAAATTCTAAGTTTTATATTATGAATTATGAATACGTACGTAAGGTCATAAATATAATATGCTACGTATAATAGGTAAAATATACAAATTATTTTAAAATTGATCGAAATAAAATTATATTTATAAGAGGATTGTCTAAATCGTATAGTATTTATAATTGAGTTTTCTTAAACGAAAAGCTATAAAGCATCAAATTTATGTAAAATTTTATTTTATTTTGGATTTTTAAATTATTATTTCATTAATTAATGTAAAAGGGTTCTTTTTTAAACATGATATTATTAAATTTGCTTATTAAGATTACAAAAAAATATTTCAAAGTTCAGGTACGAGTGAAGTTTAAGTTTTATAATTTTTTAAAATATACTATGTATATAGTAAATTTAATTAGGGAGTTATTAAAAGGGCCAATCTTAAATAAATATTTTAATTAAAAATATTTAAAACTTTAATTGAATGTTAAATTAAAAGGTTAATAGCTTTAAGTATATTGAGTTTTATTTGTATTCAGTATATAGAATTTTGTTAAGGTGATAATGGAAGACAGTGATTCTGTGAAAACTATACAATATAGTGTACATAAAGTTGCCGTTTTCATTTTGTCTTTTAAAATGGTTTTATTGTTACAAATTATATTATGTTTGTGTATAGTGAAATATATGACAGCAAGTGTTGGATAGGAGCAAATTTAAAGGTATAGTTTGTTTTTAATGTCAATACAAAAATTTTCAATTTTACGAGTATATGTTAAGTACCATTTTTTTTTATATAAAAGCATTTTCTTCTTATATAAGAAGAATAACTTTACATTCTTTAACAGTTTATGGCTTTTTCAAATGATAAAATGTAATTAGAGTTTAATTTAATAAACCATTTTTTTTATCAAAATCTAATTTTGCCATTAGATTTTTATTTTAAGAACAAATTTATTTTAATATTTATTATAATATTTTATACAGAAATAAATTCTATTCTCGAATAGTATTAATTTTCTACAAAGTTCTTTTTAAAGATAATAAATAGAGTTTTTGTTCTTTTTTTTTTCTCAATTAAAATTAAATCGAAATATTTTGGTGTATTTGCTTACAAATATTTGACAATTTTTATTAAATTTATCTATTACTTTTTTTTTTATTCTTATAGTCTAACATAATTTTGAAAAAAAGGATTCATAATTCAAGTGAAAAAAAGAACTTGTAAATCAGAGTATGGATAAGATACCAAATAAACAAAAATTTTTAGAAATATAGATTTTCAAAAATAGTGTGTGTAGAGTAGATATAAATAAACCTGAAAATGATATTTAACTCAAAAATTAAAATAATTTTAATATTAAGGATTCAAAAGAATTAATAACAAAAAGTCTCAGATTTGGATTAAAAAAATATTGTTTTCTTTTTTTTTCTAATAAATTTTTTAACAACATTTTAAACTTAAATTTAATATTATTTAATTACATTTATTTATGTATATATAGAAATGTATTTTATTAAATTTTAAAATATTTTTGTTATAAAGTATGAAAATTTATTAAATTTTGTTTTGAGTTTTTTTCTTAAGTTTATAAAATGTTAAATTTAAAAAATATGCGAAAGTATGCAAATATAATTAACAAAATTTAAGAATTAAAGAAGAAAATTATTATTATGCTTTATTATAATAAAATTTTTTATAATATAATGTATTAATTTATGTACGTACATAATTATATATATAATAAATTAAATACAATTCGGAAGTGGTATAAAATTGTTAAAATTTTGTTTTTTTTCTTAAAATTAACAACTTTTTAGTAAAAGTAGTACAAAGCAAAATCAAGAAAAATACATAATAAAATAATATTAATTTTATGTAATTTTTATTTAATAAGTATATTTTTTAAATTCTTTTAATGTATTGTATGTGTGTATTTACTATTTATACATTATCCTTTTCATTTCTCATTAAATTGAATTAAAACAAATTATTACGTTAGATATTTCTTATATTATATTCCAAGTATGTAATGATTTGCATATGATTTATGTTTAAGTACATATTACAATTAATTAAAGATCATATTGAAATTAATTAAAAATACGAAACATGAGAAATTAAATTGAAAATTATAACAAATAATTTGTTTTTCTGAGAAATTGAATTTTAGCTCGTTTAGCTTTCAGGTTCATACTGTATTAAAAAATTATCTTTTAATTTTTAAAAATTTATTGAAATTGTGAACAATATTTTCATATTTGAATAAAAGAACTGAACTGATACCAAATTAAATCAATAAAAACTACAATTAATTTAATAATATTTGCGGATGTTGTAATTTTGAAAAGCAGTTTTTTTTTCAATAAATTAATAGTATTAATTTTAAAACAAATAAGTAAATAGTTTAAATTTTAGTTCTATTGATGAGTACATTATTTATTTATAATTAATATTCTTAGATTTTAGAAAAATATTAATATTATTACTCTTGTAAATAATTCCTCTTAGTACACACATACTTAAAATTACTTAAAATTTGTAAGGTTCTAATAAATTATTCAAAATATTTTTTTGTTAAGGATAGGAAAAAGGTTTCATAATTCAAATTAAGATTTATGAAAGTTTTATTTATTGCTTTTTATTTTATTTATTTTTTTTTTGAATAAGTAGGGAAGATTTTATACAATTTTCTTTAATAATTCGTTTATTAAAAGTACTCAATGTGTAATAGATTCTAGTTTTTTGTTTTTTTCCTAGATTTGAACACATAATAAGAAGTTTTTATTTTATTGAATTTTTCGTCTTAACTTAAAAATTTTTATATATTTATGTATAACAAAAAAAACGTTTTTATAAGTTTAGCATACTTTTTTCCCTAATATATACACATATATAGCATAATTTTATGAAATATTTTATAATTCAAAGAACCTTTTAATATTTTTTTTCTATTTATTCTTTTGATTAACATTATTAAATCAATTAAATATTGAAATTTTAAAAATAAATTTATATTTCCTTTTTAACATGGTTATATTTTTTTTTCAATAATGTAAAACTATTATTAAATAAATAAATTATATAAATTTTAAATAATTATTCTAGCATTTTTAAATAATTTACTCTAAAATTTTTAAATATTTTTGTGCATAATAAAAATTTTGAGAAAAGTTTTTAGTTACATAACACAAACTTAAGCCATTTACAAATTATTTATTTAAAATTTCTAAAAATAATGTTTATATTTTATAATTTTCTTTTGTTAATATAAGTAAAGTCAAAATTTTTAAAAAAAGATGAGTAAAAAATATGAAATTTCCAGATATTTGAAATTAAAATAATTACAAAATAATTAAAATTTATTTATAAAATATCCTTATATTTATATAAATATATATTAATAATGATTTTTAAATTAATAAATTCTTTGTATAAATTTTGATATCAAAATTAGTTTGTTAATATAATAAAACATAAATGTTAAAATAATATAAAGTATAAATTTAAGAGTTTTGTTTTAATAATTTTTGCTTTAAATTCATGTTATATTCTATAAAAGGAATTAAAAATTATAAGCATAATAAATGGGAAATATAGCCTAAAAATACAATTTTAAATAGGTTTATTTTAAAAAGGCAGATGTGAGTTTAGATAAAAAAGATTTTCCGTGATACTTTTTAATCCTAGGCAAAAATCTTAGAATATTTTAGGATGAAATTTGATTTGAAATTTTAGGCTAGCTAAAATCACAAACTATCTATGGTGTTTTTGAATTGAAGTTAATTAATTTAACATTAGATTTTAATGCAATAATATTTTAAATTTTAAAAATTACAGACATATAAGAAAAAATCATAATTTTATTTTTGAAGAATGTAATTGAACAAATTGCAAAAAGTATCACGAAAATTGTTTTCTTTCATTGAAGAACTATGCATTTCTAAAATTTTTTCTATTTTAATTTCTCTAATTTTAAAAGCTAATTTTTTTTATTAATTTTTTCTATAAATTTCTTTTATAAATTTCGATTCGAAATTTAATTTACATTTGTTTTTTATTTAGCGCAAATCTAATCGCTTTTTAATTTTTAAATTAGTTTTTTCATTCATTTTAATTTTTTGTGTAATTTATTTTTTACTACATAAAAACGTCTTAATTAATTAAATTAATTTTTGTTTTTAAACTTATTTTAATTTATGACGTTATTAACTTTTTATTTTTTTCAAATTTACTTTTGAAAATATTTAGTATATTTCATTTTCGTCAAATTATTTCGATATTAAATATTTATATAAGTTCTTTTTCTTTTATATAAATTAAATTTAATCTTTTTTCTCGTCATCCTTTTTCTTTGTACTATCGATAAATAGTAAAGGAAACATGCCAATTAAACAGCCAGCTGTGATACCAAATATTCGGCCCTAAAATTTAATAAAATATTAAATTTAATATAAATAAATTAGATAATAATAAAAAATCATATATTTAAGATTAATTCTTACCATATTACCAGCTCTTCGACTAGATTTCATATCCATTTGAATTGGTGTTAGATCAGGTGCTTTTAAACCTAACATTTCACATCCTCTTTCAACATAATATGCTGAACCAATACCTAAAATATATATAATATTAAATTAATTTAATATATGTACTAAATTAATTATTATTTTACATTATTTGTTATAAATATATTGTATTATATAAATTTACCTAAAACATCACTAATTGTATTACCCAAACCGGCTGCTGCCATTGTTGATATACACATAAACATACCAAAACAATGCTCAATGTAATCACCCTTTTAAATTGAATAGTGAAAATATTAAATTGATATATGACTGTATTATTAAAATTGAGTATTTACCGCTATTATCATAGTAAAATTGTCCAAAAAACCAAAGCCAATAAAAGGAACTGCATTAACCATAAAAACTGAAAATAGAAAAATAAAAAAAAATAATATTTTAAATAAGATATAAAAGTTAACGAGAAATAAAAGTTTGTGTGTCTAAAGTATTTTTAGCGGAAATCTCAAGATCAGTCATAAGAAAAAAAATTTAATAAAATTTGAAGCCGTTTCAAAGGAGAAGTTGAAACAAGATTTGCCCTTATAGCTTAAATATATTGGGTTTAATTAAGCTAATTTAAAAATATTCTTTTGGAAATAGTTTTTGTAGGGAAATATAACTAACCATAAATTTAAATGGAGCAGAAATATGTTTCTAGAGTAATATTGGGAGTGGGTAATGAACTTGATTGCAAAAATCTAAATTGAAAATTAACTTTTAAGTATATTGAATTTTTACGTATAGCTTTGTTTTGAAAATTTTTTCTCTCCTCTGACAAAAGAATATAATCACAAAAATTATTAGATTGATTTCGAGTATATCGAGAAATTTGTAAGATTCGAGTTTGGCAAACGGTGAAATTGCTAAACTTCTGTATAAATGCAAAGAGCTAACGCTAAAAGTCATGCCATCAAAAAATTATTTTTCTTAAGTGACCGAATTAACACTTGAATTCGAGCATGTTAACGCCTCTTTCCATTTTTTGAACCGCATTTTAAATGTATATGCAATTCTTGAAATATTTTTGTATATACATAAAAGTAATTTAAATTATATAACAGATTGGTGTTAAAAGCAGTAATTTCATTTGTTGAAGACAAAAGAACTATTTTACAAATCGTTGGTTTGACTCAACTCTATTTTTCAATTTATTTAGTAAGTTAAGGCATATACGGTGAAATGATGACATTTTTTGTTGTGTATTATAAATTATTTATAAACTCAACTCTGCTATATCACTTCGTGAGATGTATACTTTAAATGCATTAACATATTGCTGCTATTTTTAACTGTGTAATAATAATGATAATGTATAGTATACATTTCTTTGTGAGAATCCACCTGGTAGATATTATACTTCAAATTTGCGAAAATTATGGTTATGGCTCTTTGTTAGGTGAAGAAGGAATTTATAAGAGATTGAAGTTGTTTTATATATGAAAAATTTAATGTTTAAGTGTTACGTTTTTTGATTTGATACTTACTTTTCCATAAATCTTGTGTGCTAGGTGGTGGTGCTTTCTCAGCTTTAAAAAACAATGGAAAAAAAAATTAAAAATTAATTGAGTTTTAAATCTGTTTTACATGATTAATGGATTTTAAACGTAATTCATTTAATTTTCGAATAATTTTGTTAACTTATATACTAAATAGTTTTTTATTTTTTTATGATTTTAATTTTAATTTCTTAATTGCTTTTTATTTTTTTTTCAATATTATTACATTAATTGAGATTTATTAATAAAAAATATATTTATTAAGGAAAACACCTTGAAAAACAATTATAAATCTTATGGGTTTTAAATAACATTCATGCATGATATTCAGAAGAAAAAAAACAGAAGAAAAACAATTACAAATTTAAAGAAAAACTAAAAATATTTTTGTAATTTCGTAAAATTTTTAATCTAATTTAAGTTTTGCATATTGTTTGTAAACAGCTAATTTAATTTCATACAAATTTGCTTTAAAATTAAAATAAAGAATTTATAATTCGAAAATTTGTTTATAATTTTATGCGTGTAGATTTTGAAATGTTTGAATTTAAAATGTTTATATAAGAATGCAATAATAAATATTTAATTAATTTAAACCATAAAAGAAAATTAATTGAAAACTTAAAAAAAAAAAAAAAAAATCATAAAAAGTTGAAGAAGTATTAATTTATTACCCAATTTTCGCTTAAGCCAGTCAACTGGTATCGCACAATAAGATCCTGTTGGATCTGGGTCAAAAGCTGGTATTTTAGATGGTCGTCCAAAACGACTTCGCCATTTATGTGCTGCTAGTTCGCCTTTTTTTTTAATTGTTTTAGTGGTTGATTTTTTAAGTATTAAATAGAGTATTTTGTTGTTGTTTTTTTTCATATTAAAGAAAGTTAATTTTAGCAGAAAGAGAGTAGCGCATCAGCAATAATATAAAAATAAAAAAAAATAAATAATATAAAAAATAAAATTATTTTAAAAAAAACTTAAATTAAAAAATTAAAAATTACTTATAAAATTATAATTATTCTTGTAAAAATTAAATTACACAGAGTGTTCTGTGTTTTATGAAAGTGTAGACATTTATAACTTAATAATCATACATATGTGAGTGTGTTAATACTTAAATATTTTTTGTACATATATACATATATTAGCTTATATATAAATTAATTTTTATATTTTGTGAATTAAAATTACACAAATTTAAAATAAAAAATTCTGTATCCTTAAAATTGTATACAAGTGTTAAAATTGTTTATATTGGAGATGCCAGTTATATCGTGTGCGTGTATTGCAGTTGTAAACGATTTTAATTTCTATTTGAGGTTTTTACAGTGTAAGTAACCTTGCATTTAATTAGAAATTACACATATGGTTTTAATTAATTAATAAAAAGTTGATTATTTATTAAAAGTTGTTAATGCATACAATAGAAAATTTAATGGGACATACATATATGAATAACAACAAAAATTTATAGAAATTTTAATAGATTTATTGGAAAAGGATAGATGAGGTTCAAACATTTAAGGATTATTAATAGAAAATTTATACATTTACATATTATAAAGAAAATTAAAAATCTCGTGCAATAAAAATTAAATTTTATTATTAATTTATCGGAAATGACTATTGGACTACACATATTTTATCATATTTTAACCGTGGCAAGAAAATATGCTTTCTGTTTTTAAATGTTGAATAAATGTTTATATTTTAAGTACTTTTAGAGTGCCTTTGTAATTATGTGCAGCAAATAATATTATTTGGAAAATTATTTAAAACTTATACTTTAACTTGAAGATTTAAACGGACTTGTCGTAAGTAAGTTGTTATATCTCTTATATTTTGTTATTTTATCTCGGAATTTCACGTCTTTTATTTTTTGTTAGTATTTTTTCAAACTTAACCAGTTTTTCATAAAAAATAATTAAGCTAAAATTTTTTGGTCGCTTAACCGAATTTTCTAACCTTGAAATCGAATTTTCATAGTCTTCAAATCGGACTTATTCAAATTTAAATATAGAAGGATCTAATATCAGTTATTTCTAACAACCACTGACATATTCTAAAAAATATATTCAAATATCGGACAGAAACTAGTTGAAAACAAAAATAAAAATTTACTTTACAGCATCTATTAAGCAGCTTCGCACTACATCGTGCGTTTTTAAAAATTTCAACAAAATATTTTCTATATATACTCGTAAATGATTGCTTATGTGAAACAATAATTTAACAATTTTAAAACAATTTTTTTTGTTATTTAAAAAATAATTAATACAGGTTTTCTGTATTATTTTTGCGTTAGATGTAGATGTAAAAATTTCAAAGAAGGGGTAACAGTGCGCCCCGACTAGCTTAAAGGATCTATTGTTCCCCCTAACAAGATGTGAAAGAAGGCCCTCCAACACTCTTTCGAGACCCAAGCTTCTTATGAATTCGAGAAACTTTGAATTTCCGGCAAACCACAGCTCTGCCGAAGTGAGCACGTAGTTCCTCGGTAGTTCCCTTCTACTGCGGGTGAGGGCCCAACATTCTCTCAGAAGGTGTATTAAGGCCTCCCCGTCCTGAACACAAAATCTGCAAACATCTTTACTTTTTAGGCCCAGCCTTCTAAAGTGACTCCTAAGCCTACAAAACCCCGTTGACAATTCTCATCTGATTCCTGCCGGACCCTATGATTTCCCTGGTCGTAATCTTCCAGAAGCATCCAGGGCACGTCGAAGCCCTGGAAGATCCTTCCAGTGCTCCGAACGCCGCCTCTACTTTTGCATTCAATATTCAATTTATTCAAAGCAATTTAAAATTATACATAAATGTAGGAAACTGTACTTGACTCAAGAAATTTTTTAAAAGAATTCCACAAGTACAAAATTTTCAATACAAAATTTATAAGAAAATTTTTAATAAAATATAAATTTCAACTTTTATATACTTTTGTGAAATTGAACCTGATTCTTCACCTTGATTTCAGTTTCCCTGAATTAATATTCAATACCAAAAAAAAAACAGTTTTTTAATTCTTTTATTATGTTTTTTTATGAAAACTTTTAATTTTTTCATATTTATTTATTAGAGGTTAAAAAAAATCATAATTACAAATAGAAAAATTTGCCCAGTATAAACCCACCCACTTAATCTTATGAAATTTCAAATAATTTTCACCTTCCATAAATTATAAAAGTTAAAAAGTAAAAGAAAAGTAGAAACGGTCAAAATTTTTCTAATTAATTTCAAATAACTTGAGATTCCACAAAAAAAAAACCTGATAATCAGCAAAATTCTATTGTAAAACATATAATTGAATATGTAGTAAAATTATATATATATACATATATATAGATATATGTATGTATAAAAACAATACACTAATATAAGCATTTAGGGTATACCTATAAATTTTTTATATTTTTGATTAGAAGAAAACCACCAGGATAACAAAATAAACGTAAAAATCTTAAATTAAACTTGTATACAAGTATGTTTAGACATTTACAAACCTAAATACATTTTACATTTCCACATTTGTTCCTATATATTTTTAATTTCCCAAAAGAATACCTTTATTCTTACAATTTTCGATATATTTTGAACTAATACCAAAGTAAGAACACCGCATAACTTATATAAAAAATGTTAATGAAAAGAAAAAAAAAACAAAATATTTAGTGTAAGAAAATTACAAATCTCCTTCGATTTTGTAATCAACAAACGGTGTATCCTTTAACACCTGGCGCTTATAAAGGCCTATAAATATAGTATACCGTTACCTTTATATTTATTATATGGTTATGATTCTTATTGTAAGATTATTTTGATTTTGTATTCTAAACTGTACAAAACTATTAATCTATTAAATACGAATTTTTAATGGACGTGCCAGGTTAAATTTTGAGAGAATGAGAAAAATAATAAATCTTTAAGTTTCGACCTTCACAAATTAGTTTAATAAATTTGTTTACATTTTATATACACATAGGTGTACATATACCAAGTATGTATATACTTGGCAGATATACCAAATATAGCAAATGATTCTAAAGTACGCAATGGTAATAACGACCTAAATCATCATAATATATTTTTTAAAGCGAAGAAGGAAAGAGGAAGAAAGGAATGAAAGTAAAAACAAGCATCCCGAATAGCCAGTATTTTAGGAAACTAGCGTTTTCTGGAATAATTGTATCCAAAAACTCGCAGTTAAGTCAAAATTATTTCTGCTATTATGATTAAAGAAGTAATTACTTGCAGAATTGCTATATAAACTTGAACAAAAAGATGATTAAAATGTTTAAGTCATTCAAATAAGAAGACGAGTATAGAACCGCGGCTATTAACAGTATTCGAAAAATAATATTTGGTCTATATTTCATTAGGATGTTTTTCATTTACACATAAAACGTGCCTTTAAAGTGTTTGTATTAATTTTTTTTTTAACTTTCACCACAATCTAATAAAAATTTTATGCTAAATTATTTCTAGATAAAATTCGAATCTAATGAAAATTACTGTTATATTTTTAATTTATATAAATTTTTGTCGAACAGCGGCAACAGGTGGTTTTTTTTCCGCTTTAATGATTTTATTTTATATCCTTACCCAGTTTCTCTATATTGTTTTTTATCTTTTTTTTTGTTTTCATTTTATTATCCTTGCCGCTTTATTTTTTTGCTTAGATTTCCTTAAAGCAAAGAAAAATAATAAGTAAGAAAAAAAACAAGAACAAGGAAAAATATTTTCTATAATGTCAAATGAAAAACGTTATCCTTTTTATGCTTTTTATAGAGGTAAAAGGCCCTTTATCAAATAAATGAAACGAAACAAAGGAGCACAAAATTAATTCATATAAAAAGAAAAGGAGTAAAAAATAAGAAAAAAAAAACGAAGTAAGAAAACGCATGAAAGGGGCAAAATAAGCAGAAAAGGTTACGATTAAGGGGAAAAGTTGAATTAAGGATAAGAGATGAGGTAAAAGTAACAACAACTAAAAAAAAAGTTTTTCGAACTTTTCAATTTATTTTCTTTTTTGGCCCGTTTCAGGTGAAAATATTTCATTTTTACAGTTTTGTGTCTTTTTTTTTCCTCAAAGGGCGTTTTAATCTTAAATTTATTTTATAGCATGTTATGTGAGAGGAGAGTAAACTGGAATATTCCTAAGAATTTCAGATCATTACATAGGTCAAATAAAGTTTATAATAATTATTTTAACTTTTTTTTCTGTGTAAAATGAGTATTAAATTCTGGGCGATTAAATTTAAGTGTGTGCAAAAAATAAGATATGAAATTTAATATTACAATATTGAAAATTTTTCGGTGCCTATACGATTGAATAAAAAATAATTTTCATTTAATGTAATTGAAATTTGAGTTTCCGCAATTAAAGTTAATGGGGCTGCCTATAAAATTAATCTAGAATTTTATTTCTAAAATCCGAAAATACTTGTAAATATGCGATAGCTTTATAGAACGTTTTCTTGATCTGATAGACTAGAAATTTTTTTATGGTGTTAAATTTTAGGATTGTTTTACAAGCATTGTCATAAATTTATAATAAGATTGGTTTAATTTGTTATAATGTTACTCATATATTTATTTTAAAATAAGTATGAAAATATGAATTGCTATGTTAAACATATTTTGTACAATATACAGTTTTGATTGAAAAAACCAAAGAAAACTTCAAAAAAGTTACAATTTTCTCGTTTTACTTCTATCATCATGAATTCTGATAAGTAGGGGTCTATTTTGCTATATACTGTAGCTATTTGACAACAAGTTAATTTTGAATTTCCACTTTGCTTGTATAATGTTCTTATTTTGGT